GTTGCAGAGATCATGGACGAGGTATTATTACAAAAAGGGTGCCTTTGGAACGGGCTGCCCAGGGAGGTGGTGGAGTCACCGACCCTGGAGGTTTTCTAGGAAAGCCTGGATGTGGCACTTAGTGCCGTGGTCTGGTTGACAGAGTGGTGTCGGGTTGGAATCGATGATTTCAGAGGTCTTTCCCAACCTAACTGGTTCTGCGATTCTGTGCATTTTATCTTAAAACGGGCAATTTCGGCATCGCCTCGGCGCTGAGGGGACCCACGGCGGGACCCCCACCCCTCCCTCCGTGCGGCATGAGAGCCCTGCTCCCATTGGGCACACCTCCCCCGATCCGGCCGCTCATTGGCCGGCAGAGAGAGGGGCTTGAGAAAGCTGTGCTCCGATTGGTTCTCCGTGGCGTCGGCTCTTCCCCCGCGAGGAGAGCGCGCTCTGGGCTGATGTGGGGCCAGGCACGCCGCAGCCAATCAGACGCGCCAACGTCACGGCCGCCGTGCGCCGTGCGGGATCCGTCCGCGGGGCGGGGCTGCCCGGCCCTGAGGGGCGGCGGCGGATCACGGAGTCACGAAGTCAGTGCATCGATTAGGTCGGAAAAGACCCCTGAGAACATCAAGTCCAATCTGTTACTCAACACCACCATATCAACCAGACCGCGGCACTGAGTGCCACATCTAGTATTTCCTTTAACAACTCCAGGGATGGTGACTCCACGACCTCCTTGGTGGTTCCAATGTCCAATCACTCATTCTGTGGGGAAATTATTCCTAATGTCCAAGCTAAACCTCCCCTGGTGCAGCTTGAGACTATGTCCTCTCATTCTGTCACTTATGGCCTGGGAGAAGAGACCAACCCTGACCTGGCTACAACCTCTTTTCGGGGAGTTGTAGAGAGTGAGAAGGTCCCCCCTGAGCCTCCTTCTCCAGGCTGAGCCCCCCCAGCCGCTCGTCGTAGGACTTGTGCTCCAGACCTTTCACCAGCTCTGTTCCCTTCTCTGGACCTGCTCCAGCACCTCAATGTCCTTCCTGAACTGAGGGGCCCAGAACTGGACACAGCATTTGAGGTGTGGCCTCACCAGTGCCAAGCACAGGGGTCAGTGGGTGGCCTCATGTCCACCCTCCTGGGCTGTGACCCCCTTGGGGAAAGAGTGGTGGGGGTGCCTTGGTAAAAATGAGGAATCATAGCTTTGCCTCCAGTCCTGTCCAAAACCTGTCCCAAAGCTCACCTGTACCCCCAGAGCAGGGCAGGCTGTTTGTCAGCTGGGGGTAAATGGTGTGGAGGTAAATGCATGAGGTCTGAGGTCTGTGGTGGGGCAGGAGGCAAAACCCTCCTGGCTGCTGCCCTGCATGTCCTGCACCAGTGTTGTACCCACACAGGTTAACACTCTGTCAGTGTCATAAACACCTTCACAAACACAAAGGGTTAAAAATAAAAGTCACAGAGATGGGTTCTCCAGCCAGTTTCCCCACCACAGGCTGTGGATCCCAAGCCCGCTCCTGTCCTGCCTTCTCCCTTATCTCTTGGCAGGTGTCTGGCTGTGGATTTCACACTTCCATTGACCTCTGAGTGCTGCCAAGGCAAGGGAGGCACGACAGGCAGATAACGTGTCCCCATTCCAACCCAGCCTTCTTAAGGCCTATAGCTCTGGGGAGAGTTATTTAAAAATATGCCATATGTAACATCTGTCTCTAGGCAAATAAACTGTGGATTGTTTAAATCACGTTTTCATGGTCTCCACATTTAATAAAGTACTTGCATTCTGGTAGCACAAAAATCTAAATGACATTTAGAGCAAGTATACGATCTACTACATGTATTTTACTTTCATATACAATATGCCTGTATATAATTTACCATCAAACTCCCATCTTTTGAGTCTTCTATGCATTAGAAGCGAAATCATAACCTTGAAAATAAATTACATAAGCAGCACGGATACCCCGTGGAATCGTTTAGATTGGAAAAGATCTTCAAGATCACTGAATCCAGTAGTGTATTTCACATAGTTAAGTGCTTCATTAATGCCAATTCCTGGCTGAAATCACCGTGACAGCCACTAGCAGAGCTCACACTCAGAAAGCAGAGTAGCAATAGTAGCTTTTAATCCAAGGTGCAAGCTGTGTAGGCAGGGAGCATTACACAAGCACGGCTGGGATGGTAAGGCCATGGAGAGACGCGTTTCTTGCCTCATTTTTAGGTCAAAGACACTTGTTGCGACTTCTTCAGGCGTCCCTGGGGGAAAAAAAGAAAATTAATAGAGCGGCGGTGATTTCTCAGAGATCCGGTGAGAAGCGCGAAGCGATGGTTCCTCCCGGGGCCCTCACGGCGTCTGGTGACCTTTAGAGGTGACAGGGACCGAGCGCCGGCTCCCGAGTGTCCGGCGCGGCCGCTCCCCCATTCATTCCGTGCCCGCGCTCCCGGGGCCGGTGGAGCGGGTGACCTCGCACTGCCCGGGTGGGCACCGGGCCGGCCGCCGCTCCGCCTCCTCCCGGCCCAGCTGCCCGGTCCCTCCGGTTCCCGCCGCTGGGGCGGGGCGGGCGCGACGCCCGCACTTTTTTCCGCCGCGGGCGGAAGGGTTACGGAGTGGATGCGATCGGCGGCGCCTTAAGGGTGCGCGGGACGGGGGCCGCAGTCAGCGCAGAAGGCGAGGCGGGTCGTGCGGGTTCCCTTCTGGCGCGTACTGCGTTAACCGGAGCCCGTGGACGCGACGGTGCTTTGTCTCGCTCGCTCTGCCTGCACTATGTCAGCGTGAGTCCCAGAGATACTGAGGAGTCGCAGGTGATGTGGGAGCCGGACACCCAACGCAAAAACACCTCATGGACCGGTTCCGGCCGCGTGGCAGCCAGCTACGGGATCCGCCTGGGTGAGAGCGCAGGGCGGGGGCGGGCGGCGCTGCTCGTGCCCTCTCTCCGGGCTGGGCCTCACTGTGGGGCTGGGGGCCATCCTCCTGCCCCTTAGGTCTCGCATCCCTTGGGTGCGCGGGCACCCCCCGGCGCAGGAGGGTCACAGTGGTCCAGGCGGGATGCTCTGCTGGAGCCTCAGCCGGAGGCCTCCGGGGCAGCATCCGCTGAGTGAGAAGGTACGTGCTGGTGGGAAGGGCAAACAGCCTTATCTGCGCCTGGGGCTGCGCCTGGATGTCAGCCCAGGCAGCGCCGGCATCGCTACCTGCGGCGGCTCCCGGTGTGCAGGGAGCTGCTGGGGCCAGGAGCAGCACTGGGGTGACTTGGTGTTTTAAAGGGATGTGGGAAGGCGGAATCACTGCCACCATGGCTGGGAGGTTAGTGTAAGCCTTGGTATGATGCTTTAACGACATAGGTGTGTGAGATTTAAATTAAGGCCATGTGCATCTTTGATTAGGGAGAGTATGTTTTTGTACTATTCAGGTATGCTGGGAAGTGAAAGGTGATGCCTAAACTTGTTCAGTGGTGGAAGATAAGAGTTTTTTGCTATGTATCTGCCAGAGTTTGTGAACTGTGAGCTCTGCTTTGTGCTTGTTCAGGAATACCTGTATGGCTGTAAATAGGAGTGTGTGGTTCTTTGACTTGGAAACAATGTGTTGTCTTTGGGATGAGCTGTGCTTTGAGCAGGGGTTGGACTTCCAGGGATGTTTTCAACCCAGAACATTAGTTTTTCAATGCTTGCTGACTGTAGGTCATGTCTCCAGGGTATCAGTGGTTCTGGCTGTGTGAGCTCAGCCACATCATGGATGAGGTGAACTTCAGAGCATGTGTGGGTCAAACCCTCCAGTTCTGACTAACTTGTTTTATGGTGTCTGTTCTTCCTAAGTGTTTGAGGGCCAGGTTGCTTGTGTAGCTTTCCTGTGATCACTTGTCTGATGGGGATTGAAGGGAATAGTTTTGGTAAGTGACCTGAAAGTTTCAGTCCAGTGTAGATGTCAGTGGTATGAGCAGAGCCATTCTGGAGTGGTAGCAGTGTATATAGTGATTCCTGCAGTTCATGTCCAGAAAACAGTTCCTCACCTTGATTGCTATGTAGGTAAGCCAGGTCATTATTTTGACTGCTGGTGATTTCCCCTGGGAAGGCAAATGTATAGTGTCTAACTCTCCTGCTGGATAGGAAGCAAGTTACTACAGGGTTTCAGCCAACTCCTGAGTGAAATGTGATGTAACTGGTACTCATATGATCAAGAGTGAATGCAGTTTCAGATGGGCTGCCTGTGTTTATGGCTGAAACAACTAGAACTCTTTTCATCCCACTTTGAAGTGGCTTTCCCCATTGGAAAGTGGATTGCTCTGCATATGTAGAAACCTTTGTTAGCCTCCATTAGGTTTGCATTGGTGTTCACTGGCCTGAGTGCTATTCAACAGCGAAGAGTGGATGCTTTATATAACCTTAAGATGTGGACTCTCTGAGGAGAGCTAAGGGCAGTATAGCCCTTTAAGCAGCATGGCTCTGCCTGGCCCTGAAAGTGTAGTAATAAGATGCAATGTTTAACTGCTGAGTAACAGGCCTGTGCCCTGAAGGACTTGTGTGCTGATGCTTATTTGGAACAAACTGTATAGACAAAACAGAACAAACTGTTCATACTGTGAGAAACTAAATTAGTAGTGACTTGAACCTTTTTGCATTTATCAAAGTATTTGGAGCATGTGGTGCAGTTTGGTTTTGAAGGGGGAGATGGCAACTTAAGCTCTTCTAGGGTAAAGTTTTATCTTCACATAGCTGATGCGTGATGTGCAGGATAGTAACTTGGGTGGAGTGTAAAAAGGGTATGTAGGAGTTTGGGATTGAGGCAATATGTAGGCAAAACATGATTTATGGAGAAGTCTTTGCCTTTATGTCAGTAACACCTACGGAATAATCTCACACTGATGGAAAGGGTTGAGGTGGAATAAAATGTTCAAGGGACAGACGGGGTGAGGAAAGTGCTGTAGTGGCCATGTGTAACAGTGCAGAGGTAGTTCTCAATGTTTTTCTCTTACAAAGCTGGAAGGTGTCCTCTTTGTAGGAAGAGGATGCAAGCTGGCTTCTGAAGCAATTGGCTGGATAACAGGATGACAAAGCAAAGCTAATTGGTGAAAATGCTTCTGAGTGGTTTAGCTGAAAGCATCAAATAGGGCACACAGTTGGCAGAGCAGGAAACTTATTCTCACTGATGGCAGATATTCATATTTAATTGGTTGTTGGCACAGCTTCAGACAGCACGGACATGATGAGGGAATGTCACTTTCAGGCTGGTGATGTGGCATCAGCTTCAGTTATTCATACTTAGAACTGTTTTATACACTGAATTTTGGTATTTAGTTTGAGTTGTGGGGTTTTCCTATGCATTCCTCAGGTTACTTCATCGGTCTCACAATCATGTAAGACTTTAAACATGGAAATGAGGAGTTTATTGCTGGGTCACGCTTTAGTATCTAGCTAGTAAACATCTTGTTTCACTTTATTCATGCTTTTTCAGCATGAAAAGGTAAACTGCAGTCTGTCAGACTCCATATTTACTGAAAGTTAGGCGTGCTTCCTCTAACAGTCCTGTTGATACCACAGTTGGACAATGAGTGTCACATAATCCCCGTGTCACTGAGCTCTCAGAGGTCTTTGGCCCCTGACTAGAACTATATAGCAAGTGTCCCTTCTCAGGAAGCCTTGTTTATCTTTTGCTGTGTGAACATATCATGTTGATATGATAAGGGAGTGAAAGTGTCAGCAGACGGGACTGTGGCCGTTTGATCTTCAGCTGCACTGATGTAGGAGGAAACAGAGTTACTAGGAAAGGTTTCTGTCTCTGTGGTGGCAGATAGCTTGTAACAGTCAGGTGAAGGGATGCCATGTGTTCAGGTTCAAGTAAACTCTGCTATAGTCACTTGCCTTGAGCTGAAGTCATCTACTCTGCGTGGTCAGATTTATCTTCCTGCTTGTTTTAGCCACAAATTTTCTTTATCCAGGACATCCCTAATTGTAGTTTGTCTGAATTCCTGTAATTATCTGCGTAGTGCTGACACGTATCTATTACTTCCAGCCAACTATGATGACTTATACCAGTGGTCAGTGGAATCCTACTCAGACTTCTGGGCAGAATTCTGGAAGTACAGTAACATCGTATGCTCTCGCCTGTATGATGAGGTAAGTTGTGTTTATCTTACAGTAAGTGCAAAACAAACAGGAAATAAAGTGGTTTCACACTCAATCTTTTGACCTCTTCTTTGAACTCTTGCAAGTGATACGAGGAATCTCTTAGATGTATAGTCCTGAACTTCCTTGTGTGGTGGATGGTGGTGTTCTGCTGCTGTGAAATCCTCAAGTTACATTGTCCTAAGCATTTCTGCTGTATTGTCCTTGTGTTCATGTACTTTTGCACACATTCCTGGCTTCTTGTGAGGAGTCTGTCAATACCTGTCTTCTGCTTTAGCATCGTGCTGGTAGAATATCACCTTGGTTTTGTAAATGCTGGCGTGCTGTCAAGTTCATGTTTGACTTCCCTGAGTCAGCTTACCTGATAAGCACACCTGTTACTCTCTGGCTTTGTAGAACTGGTTTTGGAAGCTCTGCAATCAGGCTTGAAATATTTCTGAGGGAATGGTAGTGGTTGAACGCTGTCACGGTGCAATACTAGAGTGTGCCACAGAGTTGCTGTGGGATAAAGGTGACTCTGAAGCTCTTGCAAATGGAGGGCAAAGCTGAAGCCCTTTTATAGTCCTAGTGTAAGATATCAATATCACCCTGTAGTTTTCCATCTGAGGAAGATGATGGATTGATTGCTTCAAAAGATTGATGCAGTGGAACCTTCCTGGGACTTAGTGGGGAGGACTAGACTTGTTTCTTAATCCCTGGAGGCCATCTGTTCCAAGAACCCTCAGAGTACTGGCAGTCCTGCAGAAGGGACTGGTAAGTTTCTTTTGAGTTCTCCTTCTGTTTTATGAATTTCTGTAGTGATGTGATGGATCAAGTGGTTCTTCCTGCCATGAAACTGCTTTTTCAGGTGTCTTAATATGACTCATCCTTTAGAAGAGTGAATTCATCAAGAATGTAAGAACTAGCCTGCTTTGAAGTGTGTAGTCTGAAGACTGTAAACACTTAATCTTTACATTTTCTATAGATGGTAACTCAAAATCTTGCCAGGTTGAATTTGGGTACTGTCTATTTTCTCTACATATTCTGTGCTCCTAGCAAGCCTATCCTAAATTTCCACATGAATTCAAATTGTCTTGAGCAAGCAGTTCAGAGCAAACTGGACAGTAACACTTGCTCTCTTGCCTTACAGGACTGGTACTCCTGGAAGCCAGTCCCTCCAGATGCCAACAGTGGCTGATGCACTGGAGGGAAACTGGAGCAGGAGATGGTGCCCTAAAAATGGATGTTTCCTGGGGATGAGTAGCAAGAAGATGGGGATGTTTAGAAAGGCTTTAACTAGATTTCTTGTGAGCTGCAGGCCTGTGTTGTAGTGGTCTTGCTGTGATGTCAGGTCTTGAGAGAGGAGAGGGAGGGTCAGCTGATGGACAAGGACTGCAGAAGATACTGAGTCACTTGTTATGGATGTTGCTGTTTGCCTTTCCCTCAGTGTCAGCTTCAGGGCTTGACTCCAGCTTTGCTGACTTGCTCTTAGTCCTTGCTGTTGGTCCATTTCTGTTGTGTGTCAGGAGGAAAGGAAGGTCACAGTAATTGAGCTGGTTTGTGGTAGCTAAAGAGCTGAGAAGCTTGATTTAAGGTACCTTACAGCTTGATCCTGACTGTCTATTGGAAGTAAGCATTATGCTTTGAGGTAAATAAGATTTTTCATGAACCAGAGCTAACTCCTTTGTTCCCAGCCAGTGGAACAGTTTATACTTGCACAGGTAATTCAAAGAAAAACAATAAAATGTTTACATTTTACGTTGTGTACATATAATGTGAGCAGCCAGTGTTTTACTTAAAACCTTTACTAAGTTTAAATATTTGATGTAGACATGTTGTTGTTGCACTGTAGCAATTGATATCCATGTCACCTGTGAAAAGAACATGGGTACTTGCAGTGTGCAAAGCTACCCTGACATGGCAGCTTTGGCATTGGCTTGTCAGGTTACAAGTAGCTGATTTTGAATAAGGAATGTAGAGTCTATTTCTTTTTGCTATGAGAAGCACCTGACAGCTGTTTGTTGGTTCTGTGGAGGGGCCTCTAAGCCAGAGATCAGGTTGTTCATATCACAAAGTACCACTACCAAAGACAGGGTATTAACTAGGAGTCATAAGTGTTACCTGGGGAGAAAATACTGGAGCATCAAGTATTATATGATTTCAGCACCTTGTGCTTGGAACTCTTTGATGCTTTTTAAAGGATTTTTTTTTTTTCCACTTCAGGAAAAAGTAGTTATGTTGGATCTTGTCCTGGAAAATGTTGAAAACATTCTGCTCACTTTTCTTCAAGCTAAGGAAGTCATAAATGAGTCAGATCTAAGAGCAGCTTCTAATTGATGCAGTAATATATGTTAGTATATAAAAAATATTTCTGCAGCCTGAGTTGATAAAGTGTAAATGTTAGAACTCAATTTTTATTTGTTAGGAGCGAAGAAATCTACATGAGTTCCCACTCTTAGAAAATACATTTGAAATAAAGTAATGCAGTAGAGCACTTGCACATGAGCTTTACCTTGGCTTATAAATTAATTTTAGGATTGCCTCCAGCAATACATACACTACCCATCTCAAAGCACAAAACCATTAGGTTTTCTGGAATGGGAGGTATTTTGAGCTCTGCCTGGCTTTCAGAAGAACCTTTCAATTGATTTGAAGGAATGCTGTTTTTATAATGTATGTGCAGTCCACGAGAGAACCTGAGGGTATAAACTGAAGCTTTCAAAAACACAACTATAAAATAAAGTTTCTATTTAAAGATTTCAAAATACATGTGTGCTGCTGAGCAGTGGTGCATTTTGGAAGGAGTTTAGACCTTTGGGGCTAATGCTTAGGGGCTCTTTATACTTATTACTGTTTTTAAAGGTATAGTCTTAACTGTGACTGATCAAGGGGTATATTAGTACTTTGAGGCTTTATAAGTTCACGATGGGGAAGTTATTTCAGCTCAATGTATTTTTGATGGCTTTTCATTGCATTTTTCAGTTCTTTGTATGTTCTAGTCCTAGATGGGGAGTTACTTAATATTGGTTTATTATGTTGGACCATCTTCATTCTAAAGCATGGAGAATTGGGTACATTTGACTATACAGTTCACTATTTTGAATTACCATTGTTTGAGTTCCTGGTGTTGGTCTCTCTACCCTGTGACTCATGCTGGGGAAGGGTGGATGCTCACACCTTCCTAAGAGGGAGGCTGGGGAGTAAGTCTTGTGAGAGAGTTTCCATATACTGCAGCTCAACCCCTGTTTGGGGTGTTACCAGAGGGTAAACCCCAGTGGTCACTGTGGTTTGCCTGTGCCTTGTGGTCTGGATGTTGTCACAGTGGTTTGCTTTGCTTGTGTATTAAAGGCTGGTCCAAAGGTAGAACTGTCACCAAGGAACTTCTTTAAGTTTAGTTGTAATGACGTATTTGCTTGTGACAGTTGACAAATAATTAATCTTTCCAGGATTCAGTGTCTGTCTGCCATCTCTAAGCTGGGAGAAATTATTCTTGCCTAATGCAGTCTAAAAAGAGCTTGGAATTAATTAGCTGATTTCTCTGAAAAAGAAACTTATCTTAGAGTTTTCCAGGAATGTATTATGTATTCTTTCCAGGTGGTTGATACATCCAAAAGTATTGCAGATGTCCCGGAATGGTTTAAGGGCAGCCGTCTGAACTATGCAGAGAATCTCCTGAAGCACAAGGACAATGACAAGATTGCACTGTATGCAGCAAGTAAGTAAAAATCACTGGCTTATATTTATTTACAGTTCACAGGACTAGGCCTTGTGAAACAGCTCTGATGATTGAAACCTTGAAATAAACTGGTTTGGGTGAGGAGAAAAGAGGGTAGTATGATCAGTTACTCTGCACAATCTGTGACACAACTCTGCAAAAAAACCCCAGCAATGTGCTTTTAACAGCTACACAATAGTTGTGCATCGTGTCCTCTGCTAAGGAGCTGCAAGACTCCATTGTTCATTGTTAAACTACTAAGAAGCATCACTGCTTGGTCAGTCTTACGATAAGGATTAGGTCCAGCAAAGGGGAAGCTCAGAATACAGCTCCCTAAGGAAGCACTCACACACCTGCACAGAAGATAATCTCATCTAACAGATTAGAATCCGGTTTTTAAAGTTACCAAAGTCAGCAGACAATAAAAATCCCTTCTCTGTATCTCAACATTACCGTCCTTATGGCTATGCACAGATTTTACTACACTTTAATCTTCAGTGTAACCAAAAAATTAAGACTGAGTTTAGTTTTCCAGACAAGTGAAATTGCAAGTCCCCCGTGCACATAACTGTCCTTTCTGTATTGTCAAAAGCAGAGTTAATTCATACCTACACCCCATGTAGTCCTTCATATTCCTAAAATAAAAACCATAGGAAGAGGGTGGGAGAGACAATATCAGCAACAATGCCAAAATACTTCCTGAAGGCAAGTGTTTATGACAAATGTGAAATAATACCTCAAATATTGAGTGCTGCTAAACATAGCAGGACCTCAACTACCTTAATGCAGTTGAACAGATTCTAAGAAAACTTCATTTCATCTGCCAAGGATTTTCCATAACTATCTGTATTCCCAGAGCACGTTTGATTACGTAGGTGTTGAAAGTCTTAGTTTATGATTTCAGATATATAGGAATCAGTTTTACTTGTACGTTGCTCTTCTGATAGCTGTTTAAAAACAATGCATCACATAAGAATTTAAGTAGGTTTACTGCTGTAAATTTACTGCTGAAGAAATACTTACCACTTGCATTTTACTGCTTAGATGTATTGAAAGAAACCTTTCTGATCTTATATATATATATTTATATAAAATCAGCTACCAGTTCAGAGGGAATGGGGAAGTCTGTGACCCAGTTTTGGTGTAATAAGAATTGATTTGGTGAAGTATGATAGAAATGAGGCTTGTAAAAGGAAGGTGGCTTCAAAGTGATGGACTCGTTGTTTTCGGAGTTGGAGATCATTATAAAAGCTTCTTATGTATTATTTAATGGAGGAAAAAAAAATCGATGTAAGTACATCTTGTGGAGCACCTGAAAGCCAAACATTGATTAGTAAACTAACTCTAAATGTATGTAGAATTGATGTGATTCATTTGTTAATGTTAAAAGCTAAATGTTCAACTTGAGAAAAAGTGGAGTTAAATATTGTCACTTTGAATTACTGAAGGAATTATTATCAGTTTAGTGAATTACTGCATTTGACATGTGGTTCCATTGTCCCTAACAAGAAGCAAGACCTACAGGAAGTCATGGGTTGTACTGGAGATTCACTACTTTGTCTCATGTAATCACAGGTGATGACACCAAAAAGAGCAAAATTATTTTCTAGTTGATTATTGAATCAGTACTGGAGTGAACACATTGGCTCATCTGTGGTGAACAGACTTCCACCTGCATTTCTTTCATGACCTTCTGCTGTGTTTAATCTTCTTAAGACCTCTTAAGTCAGAGTATTTTTTGTTAACCCCGTGCTGCTAGGTCAGAGTGGTGGTTTGGGAACCTGGTTTGTGTTCCCTAGGGATGAGTCTGTGGGAGCAATGGGGGTGTTCTAGAGCACAGGAATGCAACTGTAACTTTCCTAAACAATTTCACTTGTCGCTGGTTCCCGCAGTGAGTCCTTTTTGTGATTCCCTTCTCCTGGGGCCTTAATCATGAAGCAAGATCAGAGTCCCATTTCCTGTTGTTCTGTGGGAACACAAACTCTGTTGGCAGTCCCTGCTCAGTTTATGAACTACATGTTATGTGGACTTCTGTTGTTTTGCATCATGACCTGCTCCCTTGCTCTGTAAGTCCAAATTTATTGTTATGAAATTCTAAGAAGGCAAAAGATTAAAAAATACTGTTCCCTGCTTAAGGCAATCAGACTGATGGCAGCTGTTCTGCAAGGACCAAGTAGCAGGTTATGCAGCTCACCTTTCTTGTGACATCCTTGGCATATGTGTTTCCCTAAGAAGTCCTGGATACTGGAAACAGGACAGGCCAAGTGGTTTGCAGGAGTCACATTGAGGAAGTACAGGAAGGGACCTTTAAGATGACAAATATTCCCTTTCATAACATTTAGATTTGTTCTTTTTGTTTTGCAAGTGATTTATTAACAGCTTATGTAACATCTGACATTCAGTACAAAAGTGAAAACACCCTGCAGATCCTTTCAGAGATGAATTGAGTCCAGGTCAGTTTGTTTGCTTTGTGCTATGTTGGCAAAGGCAGGTGTTTAAAAACATATTGAAAGTCTGGCCTGTATGTGCATGATTTTCTAGTTAGTGACTTACTGTAATATAACCTAAACTTGGCAGCTGGATTCTGCTTCCTAGAGCTAATGAGAGAACTGAGCAAAAAGGGAAAAATAATGTTATTTCTGTGCTAGACATTAGCCTTGGTGAGTGCAGTCTATTTACCATGAATGCCCTTTGAGCACACAGGTTTCTCCAGTGAATATTTTGTGGTTTTTGCAGATGTATCTGTTTTTAGAAATGTCCTTGTGCCTTTTGAATGAATACCACTGATTAATACTTGATTCCTATTAAAAAGAAAAGCAGAAGAGGAACTTAACAAGCAAAAAGCAGAAGTATTAGTGGAAACTCTTATAAAATTGCTTTGTATTCTTCCAGAACTAATTGCTTGTACTAGACTCTGCTTATGTTACAATACCTAATTTCTGACTGGTTGTTTTAATTTTCTTTCCTCAGGGGAAGGCAAAGAAGAAATCTTGAAAGTTACTTTTGAAGAACTGAGACAAGCTGTAGCTTTGTATGCTGCAGCCATGAGGAAGATGGGAGTAAAAGCAGGAGACAGAGTTGTTGGTGAGTAGTTTTTTTTTTTTTTTAAAGGACAGGAGGTGGAATTGTTTTAAATATGCAAGTGACTAGCTGAGTTATAGAAACCTGAATATGAAATACTATTTCACAGAAACTTTCTAAAGAATAGGCCCTTATGTTGCTGTATTTACATTTGTAAGAAATATACTTCTAGAGGGAAGGAACCTGGATTAGCCTGCAGGTTCTCTAGCACTGGAGGGGGAAGGAAAATACCTCATTCAAAGCTTCAATAAGGTCTGCTTCATAAACACTCTGTGGAAGCAGAAGTGAGAGACTTTACATCTCTCTGAGCCTTAACTCACAAGGTCTGGCATATTTAGACAGGGCAATCTGGGAAATCATGGTCTCAGGTTGGTTGCTCTGGTGCCAGCTGGCAATTCCTGACCCTACAGCCCTGGGTAATCTGGTGCTCTGTGAACTGCAGGTCTTGAGGAGTGGACTTGTACTGCCTTCTCCCACCAGGGCCTTTGGGAGGAATCTCCTCTGGAGTGGTGGTGGTGAACAGCTGGTGGGCAGTAAGCCTTCAGGTCATACCAGTGTGAAGATCAGTGGTTAGAGCCCTGTGATCCTTTCAGTATCTCACCAGATACTCTGCAGTCATAAGACTGTGATGTAGATTTTTCTCTATAAACAGTTTTTTGTCTTGTGAATGGCTTGTACAGTCCAGGCATGGAAAGGGGTTACTCAGGCTGGTCTCAGTTCACTTATTTCTGAATTGCTGGTTTTGGTCTTCCAGCTGAGCTGCTTCATCTCTACTTCATGTGCTCTGTAATTCTTTAGTTTTCTCAGCATAGTGCCAGTCAGAACTGCAATATCTTTGAAGCTCCTTGACTCCTACCTGGAAGTTCTGGTGTATGTATCCATCGTACTACTGGAATTACATGTTTTTGAGCAATACTTGGCCATTATCCCAAGTATGTGTAAATTCTTATGTGATGCAAACCCCAAGTGATGAAACTGTTGGTTTGTTTTCTGCGTGTTACAAACTTGAACCTGTATCTTGAAAACCAGAGGGGTGTGTTTTTAAAGCCATAAGTATGACCTGAAAATGTAAAACTCAGAGCTCATTTCACACATATGGTATAAGTATTCTCTGGAACTGGTAACTGAGCACATAATTATCACAGTTGGTGGCTTGGTTTTTAACACAGAATTAGAGATAAATCCTTAATTGGGTATGAACCACCCAGTGAAGTTGAGGCTTGTCTGAGTGAAGACTGAGATGCTCTAATTTCCATCTTAACACTTACTATGTTCTTATTTGACCACTTGTTGAGGAGCAACAGAGTATGTACTCTGTAGCTGGAAAAAACGTGCTCTTGAAAACATAGCTGTAGTCTGTGCTGCTAATTATGCTATTATTATGGCTTTAGTAACAATTCCTTTTAGTTAATGACTATCTTGTTTAGCACGTCTGCCTGGCTGCTGCAGGGAACCAGGGATCTGTGTGGAGTGGGGCCCCTTGATCATTTCAATAGCTTAAGCATATCTTTATGAACAGCTGCAGCTGGTTTGTGGAAGAAGTCTGGCATTGTAGGCTTGGAGTCCTTACAAAGCCCTGTACTTTTGGTAACAAAAGAGGTTAATGAATCTAGGCAGCCTCTTTTCCTTAAAATCACAGTGTGGTTTTGGGCTCAGGTAGAGCTTTTTACATTTGGAGTCTTCGTGTGTGTGTTTTCTTCTGGGCAGTTTTTTGCATTCTGCATTTTTCCACTCTGCCCTCTTACCCTGGCTGGGGAGACTCTTTTCCTTGTAATCCTCAGTCAGAGGAATCCGTATCAGTTGAGCTGTTGCGCAGTTCCCGTTCTTTCCCTTCCCCTGGTGCCCCTAGTCCTGTGCTCCTGACTCCCTGCTTTGCCTTGGGCAGGAGCCCACATCTAGGGAGAGCTTCCCTGTGAAAGAAATCCAATGGGATTTTTGGCAGTAATCCCATTATTTAGATATACACATATATATTTCTTTGCATTGGGTTTCAGCTTCTTTCCTGTGTTTCTCTCCTATGCCAGAGGATACCGGCAGTCCTTGGAAGAGCTGAACTGTAACATGGCAGTCAGAGACTGAGGCTTCCCAAAATGAGTTGGGGAAGATGCTTCAAGTATTGGGTGGGAAAGTTTGAGTCCTATGTCCTTTTGTGGTATCAAAGGTCAGGCTCTCTGAAGCTTGCCAAAATCCACTGGGACTTAATTTGTTCTGAAATTTATAGCAGATGGCAGAGGGAAGGGTGATTCTTCATGTGGCTTATAGCAGTAACACAGGGCATGCTTCTACTGCTTCTGAAAAATCAGCTTTTAAATAGAAGGGAGATATTCTATTAATTTTATTCCAGCTGCCTAACACTTAGCAAGCCTGTCAGGTTCTGATGCCCTTTAACTCTTTCTCTTAACATCTTGAGCTGTTAGAATCACACATGAGAGCTTTTTAATGTTGTTTTCCTGTGGACTCCATCCCCATGCTCTACTGCCTCTAAGACAAGACTACTTTAACTTTTCATTACACTTAACATATCCCCTAGTTTGTTCAATACCAGTTGTGGTTGCATCATGACTGTAATAGTGTGTTAAAGTTGGAGGTGGGTGAATGTGGGTGGACAGGCAGTGGTGTCAGCACTCTTTCAGCTTGTTTTCATCCTAGTCCTCCCTTCCCATCACTAAGGAGATGGCACTTAATAGTAAACATAATTGAAGCAGGTGTGTGGTGAAGTATTTCTTCCTCTGAAGATGTCTTGTAGTACTGTCAGTGATGCTTGAGCAGTTGGAAGAGACATAGGTGCAAGCTGCACAGATCCACATGTGAGGTACTCCTGGTCTCCCCCTGGCCATCTGTTTGGCAAGTAACAGTGACTGAGATAGGAATAAAATAAACCTGGAGTGTGTTTCTCATCTCTGGATATGTTGCTTCTATTATATCCCTGTAGCCAGCTTTGCTCTGTTACAAGTCAGCAGTTAAAAACAATCTAATCTTCCCCATGTGTTCACACGAAAACATCCTCAACAAAACATGAATGAATAATATTGTTTAGAGCTGGTATTTTATCTATAGTAACTGTATTAGCCCTAGTTGCTTACGTGGGTTTTAAAGCTAGCTTTGTAAGGAGATTAGCATGTTACTAATAGTCTCAGGCCACAGTAATGTTAGGTAGGATGTCCAACTTTAAAGTCCTACAGGAGTATGAAATGCTATGTTAACATTGAAAAGGGAAACTGGAAGTCTGGTCTTTGAATTCTCTTCTGTTTGAGAGCTGGTGTAGTTCAGTAGTATAAGCCACTGAGATGTTTTAGTTGTAGCTCTCCATTTCCTTCCTCCTGATGCATTATTTCAATGCTCAAAGTCTCTGATGCAGGGTTTCAGTTCAATTTCTCTTTCGTGCAGGTGACTGCAAATGTTTGGATACCTGTGCTTCTGTATATACGTTTCTGCTACCTTATGAAGGCATTAGATACTTGCATGGAATGTGTTCTCAGCACTCTGAGAAATAAGACCTGTGGCATAGTTTTCAGTATGATCATATAAAATTTTAAACTTCAGTTTTTACCTGTTCTGTTGGTGAAGTACTGCAGTGTAAGTGAACACATGTAAGTGTAGTCTCAGTGTGTGCTAGATAAAGCAAATAGCAACTGATAGAAAATGCTGTCTTGAGCATATCAGGCTGTTAGTGCCTCTTAAAAAAAAATCCAGGCTGTTTTTAAGTTACCACTTGTCCTACCTAAAGGTTTTATGTCAAGTAAAGTTTTCATTTCTTTGTCCTTATGGAGATTGTATACATCCTTATAAGTCAGGAGGAGTGCTGCTAGGGCCCTTGGTATGTCATACTCTGATATTCCTCGTGTGTTTTGAGCCCTCTATTCAATTGCTTTCCAGTTCACCCAAAGTATGAAGATCCTTCTCTTTCTAGTAACAGAAGTTAGTTTTCACCTTCTGTGAGGGGTAATTTAAGCTACAGAGATAAATACCTTTTGCAACCTTTACCCATGTTGATAAATTCTAGTTTTCTTACCTGAAATATTGTATCAAGGAACATGGAGGCTCTAGTTAAATACCTGAACAAACATATGATGAATATCTAAACTAACAGTACCATTATTCTTCTGTAGTACAGAGCTTCTATACATAGGTCACTGCTCTGTGACTCCTGCCCAATGTTAAAATCCAGCTAAAGAAGTTGCCTTTTTCATCCTTTTTATCAGCAAGATTCTGTTTCTCCCATTTTAGACCCTTGGGACCTGTCAGCCCACTGAGTGCTTTGAGGAGTAAGTTGGTATCTCAAGGGGTGCAGTTAAATGCAGGGAGCTTTACACATGGCAGTTGCTGTGGTTTGTCTGCCGAACTCAGATGCGAGAGAGGGAGAAATCAATATTTATAATAGTCTTTCTTATTTCTCAGAATCCTGTTTTAATCTGGAAGACTGGCTGGAGAAGTAGTTTGTGTCATTGAGGGTTGGGAGCTGCTGAGAGAAAAGTAACAGGAGCTCTTACATTGCTGTGTTTGGAGGATCTCTGGTCAGAATAGAAACATCTTTATTCATAATACCTGGTGTTGGGACAGATGTGAAATCTCAGTGCTCAGGCAGCCTGGCTGCCTGCAGAGATTGGGTAGATACAGAAATGCAGAGTAAGTTGCTGTACATGTTTCATACCTTTGGGCAGTTTTGGCTGGTATCCTCCAAAACTCAACCACCACCTCAAAGGCAACTGACAAATGAAACTAATGATTTAATTGTCTGGCTCACAATAATCAGCAAAGACTTGTATTCTTGCCTTGAGGGCTTTTGTGTGGGAGTGGTGAAAAGGAGGATTGCTTATAATAGAACTGAAGCTTGTGAGCTATGGCAAGGTACCAACTGCTCCAAAGCGGGGAAAGAGATCTTTCAGTTTTCGTTGCACTCTGGCCCCCTGATCATCCCATCCAAGAAATGCTCAGTGGAAATATTTGGCATCAATTAAAGAACTGCTTTTGACACACAAAATGACATTTTAATCTGTTCAGGTTCATATATTTCAAATTATCACTTAGGGAGGAAGGTTTGTCTTAAAAGAAAAGTCTCTAAGATTTTGGGATACTGTACCCTGTTCATAAACTTTGACCCCAAGGGAAAAACAACAAAATAAATAATGCCTTTATGGGCATGAGATTTTGCTGCACTTTGTGCTTAAGAACTAAACTGAACAAAACACCACAAGCTATAGGCAATTCTAGGGAGTAATTTATATCTTAGCATGGTAGGAGGCTTTTATTCACAGTTGTGTGTTTTCCAGAAATTGCTGTGCTTAAGTCATAATGCTGTTTTCAAAGTTCCTACTCCCAAAATCAAAGCTGCTTAGAGTAACTGAAGTGGCCATGCTGGTTTAAGAAGGTGATTTCACTGATTTTTTTGACTTGAAGTTTACTTTTTACAAAGTTGGAAAAGGATGGATTTATTTTTTTTTTTTCAAGTGTTGTGGACAAGTTGGCAAAAATCAAGCTCAGCATCCTCTTGCTTGATAAAGTTGATGTAACAGAAATTGCTGTTAAGATCTTGATTGGATGTACTTTTCAGGACAGGAACTGCATAAGTATCTTTCTTTGAGAGGTGCCTTGTGCTGGTAAATGTGCAGTCCAAGATCTGTCAGTGTTTACTACAGATGTTAAGCAGGTGGAAAGCATTTTTATTGCCACTTACTGCCACTTAAGTTTGCTTTCAAATGCTGAATTCTAGTTAGGTCTTGGAGTACTGCAATTAGGTCCATTCTGTGCCTTTTTTTGGTTGCTTAGGAAGGATGATCTGAAACTGCAGATCTTTGATCTACCTCAGTGTAGTTTGTGAATTCCAGTTGCATGTTTTCCTTTGGGTTGGATTCTGATCAGTGCAGAGTCAGTCTCAGCCACCCAGCACCTTCTGGAGAGTTGTTCAAGTTGAGCTTACCAAAACTCTTAACTCTTTTGACATTAATTTATTCTGTATGTCTTAATAAATTGAATTTAAAACTTGAAATCTTGCTGCAAGCTAATGAGAGAAACCTGAAGAGCCACAATAATGTAGGAATGTTCCAGGGCTTCTCCCACTATTATTCCCTTATCAGCTGAGACACTGGTTTTGCTTGTTTTGTGTTTATGATTCTGGCAGTGTCTGCCAGACAAAATTTAGCTTTGTAAAGCTGAATCTCTGCTGTTGAGCTATTTATAACCTTTCCTTCCAGATACTTATTTTTTCTCCAGTGGCTGTTCTTGCAGACCTGTTCTATTCCCTTGCATATGCTGTATTCTTATGTAGCCTAATCAATCCACAAACTTTTTCTCTCCCAGCTATTCTTTTCAATGTGCTGCTCTCTTATCCTGGAAGGCTCATTAATTAAGCAGAAACACTTGTAAATTGGGGGTAACCTTCTAGATAGAAAACCTGATACAAATATTTTTATAAATGGGTTTATTTCTGGTACCTTGTATAACTGATTTGACTTCAAAGTAGGACATTATGGTTGTATGGGGAACTTTAAATCATGCTTCAGTGTAGGATTTTGAATTTTTAATATCTATCTACTGTATGTATTGTATTTACTGTAAGATTTGATGTTTTTGTGTTCCATCTCTAACCATCCCATCCCTGCCCTAGGTTACTTACCAAACAGCATCCATGCTGTGGAAGCAATGCTGGCTGCTGCGAGCATCGGTGCAATCTGGAGCTCCACATCACCAGACTTTGGCATTAACGTGAGTGGCCTCATTGCATGTGCAGAAAAGCTCTTGCTCTGTTTCAGACAACTGTGAGGGTGCTAAATACAAGTGGCAGATCGATTCTGTTCACTTTAGTCTTGCTGCCACCTCCTGGCACAGCCAAGTACTCCGGATTTTTTTTCTGGCTCCCACAAACTCAAACATGTCCTTTCAGTTGACAGTAATGATTTTCAGCTTAGAGGTTTGAGTAACTTTAGCTACTCATGTTAGAATATTTTCAGATGGACTCCCCAGTCTTGGTTAGTATTTATTATATTAAATATGCTAATAAGCAGCAGTTCAACTGAGTTGTCTGAAGTTTGGTCCTTCATTCTGGGCTGCTTAGTCATGTTCCAGGTTCTTTGCCTAAGCAGTCCCATCCTTTTCCTCTTGTGTGGGTAAACTCAGCACCATCCCAGTTGGTCTCTTCCAGAAGGCTTTGTTTGCCAACAAGGTGGAGAATTTCAGGCTAATATCACTAACCTTGTTTACTTAAGTGAAGAAATAAATTTTTGCTGTAGTTCACACACAGCATTATCATGGCATCCAAATAGATATGCCCTGGAAGCTTTGGGAATATATTCTGCTTGCATTGGGAAGTCTTTACCACCCATCAACAGATACAAATTACTTCCACAGTAGAGTGTTGAACCTTTCTTCTATCTAAAAGTTGACATGACAGCATTTGGAGAATGTGCTGTTTGTGCACTGCAGGGCACAGAACACAAAGGCTTTTAGGTAGCACCCTCAATTTCAGTGTTTAACCCCAGTGTCTGGTTAAATGTATGGAATGTGCTCCCTGGATTAGCACTAGAGTGCGACAGCATTCCATGTTTTGGAGAAAAACTATTAAAAAATCATTACAGCATGTAACGATCAATCTGTTCTACAAATATTTTCTGCTTGCTCAGAAAATGACAGTATGGAATATCTTCTCTGCAATGTGATTTGATCTCTCATCTGGGGGAGAGATTGTTCATTTTGCTTGCATTACAGAGGACTGGTATGTTTTCTGTCCATGTTGATTTGCTGTTATTTTCAGTGCCCAGCTTTAAGTTTTTGTGATAGTTTTTTAATGAAACTTAGCCTTGGAGCAGCAGTGCCATCAATATCATTTATTCTCCTTTGGCAGCATGTGTTGGCATGAATTCAAACCCTAAAATCTTGAGGGAGATCAGCAGAGATCCTCAGACATATTGGCTTCCACCCTGAAGAAAACATATTCTTCCTTCTGTGCAGTTGCATTAATTCTGTTAATGTAAATGAAGATTTTTTTTTGGTTGTGTTTTGGGAAATAGTGTAGCATTTTCAACATTTCAAGTCCAATTGTGTATATATGTTTGAAGCTTAGAAATGTCACTTTTCAGAGCTGCCTACACACTGCAGTCTCTGAATGCCATACATCCAAAGGTTTCAAGCATTCAGGAAGTCTGCTGTCAGAGAACCAGTGAGCTCCCTCCCACACAGAATGCCACTCTTGGCAGCTCTTGCTTCATTTCTCTAGTCTCTGGTAATCCATTTCCATATATTAATAGGAAAGTGGGGCTCTGAGGCCTGTGTGTGAGAAATTGTTGGATATAAGAGTTTATAAAGGAGCTCTGCATTTAGAACTAGCTGAGAAACCTTTGGTGAGCCCTGGCACTGTCAGTGCAGCTCCATTTGTGGGGTCCTGCAGAATTTTTAGTACTGGATTTGAGGCTCATTGAATTGAACAAGCCATATCTGCTGTACCTGAGCTTTTTGTGAAAGTGATTCCTTGCTGAGCCATCTGGTTGGATTAAAGTTTCAGTGTAGCAATTACATGTTCCATCTGTTTGTATTGCCTTTGTATCATGCCAGGCTGCCCTGTGGGATTTGATCCTGCCAGTGCTAATGAATCCAATGGAGTGTGTTAGCAGATTTGGTAAGACCCTGAGTATTGGAGTCATCTCTGTTTCTGATTCACTCCTCTTCAGATCTGATTCTTCTGTTAGAGTACCCTTAGTTCTCATTGGTCTTCATTTTTAAACACCAGGCAGTGTGGAAATGGGGTATATGGGCTCTGTGCTCAGGATGAGTACACACAGATACATAAATACACCCAGCACGTGTGTGTGGCTGCTTCGTCTGTTCTTGGAAAAAGGTACAAAGAAGTAGGTATGATGAAATACCTAAGAAAGCAGGAAAGTGACTGTAATGTATTAATTAAATCTACATTTCTGAGTTTGTTAGTTAGGGGCCTCTTGAAAACCACTTCTGTCACTGAAACAGATTCTGGTGATTTTTATTTTAAACCAATTGATGTATTTGAGTGTCAGTGCATTGTCACTGTGTTTTCTTACAATGTGAACAAGGAAAATGAAATGCATCTTTGATATGAGAGAAAGCTGTTAAGTGATATACTCAGCAGGGACAGTTAAATATTTATATTTAGTCATATCCTTCTACCTTACCTGTGGTGTTCAGTGAGCTTTCCTGAAGAGAAAGAAAGTCCATGGGAAGCTGTTAGGACAGGACTGCTGTGCCTTTTCAGGAGGCTTTCTTTCAACCCTGAGGAGTCCAGCTTGAAAAGAAGTTTAACAGAGATTACTTGATTGTGATGTTTTTGCATTCATCTTCTAGTTTGGTAATTTGTTTCTCACTTTGGCTGTGAAGTAGAAGACAAAATAGAAAACAGAAGAATAAAGAATGCTGGGAGGAGTAAGCACATAACTCAAGTCTGACTCTTGCAGCATGGTTTAGGAGATTGTTCTTGAACAGTTAGCTGACAATTTTACAATATTGAGTAATCTTATAGTTCTTAATGCTTCAAGTAATGTAGCTAGAGAGGTTTGAACATCACTATGTGCTGAGTGCTTTTAATAAAAGGATTTGCTTCTTGCTGTTGAATACAAACCGATTTATTTCTGGTAGGCTGTGTACATGCAGTGTACATGGGAAAAGTGTCAGAAAGGTTTTAATCTCCAATAGGATGACAGCTGTGATAAATTCCTGAAAAGAATGTAAGCTGGAGGAGACACCTGAAAAATTAGCATTTGAATGTGCCCTGCCCCAGAGATTCTAAAGGAGCTGTGGTAGTTTTTGCTGGTAGCGTAGGTGTTTGTTCAATATGCAGATTATTTTGATAAAAAAGAGTGGTATAGTTTCCTTTGTTAATTGTAGCAAAACAAAGCTGCCAGTTTAGGTGAAGTGCTACCTCACTCTATGATAAATACATCTCCCACAAGACTGGGCTGTTTGTTTCCCCCCATTCAGAGCCCCAACACTGGTGCCCTGTCAAAGGCACCCCAAGGGCACGCAGAGCACCTGCCTGCAGGTGCAGCCAGGAGTCCTGTGGGCCTTTGTGGAAATGAGGGGCCCAACTCCTGCTCACATCGTTGTCCTCTTTAGATGAGTTTATAGCTGACTCTCAAGGTGACTTTTTTAGCTGCTTAGACAGCTTTGTGAGCTTGACCCTTCAGTGAACAATGTTCTGTGGTCTGTGGGGATTTTATCTGTATTACTGGTTGATATATTTGGGGATCATGAAATAGATTGTTACAAACCTGTTGTACTTTGGAGATCTTGTATGAATGAAAGCAGGCACTCTTTTAACAACTCTCCTGTTAATTCCTGTCCTTACTCCTTGCTTGAATTGAAATTTGCATTTAGCATCCACTGAGATTTCCTAGCAATTAATTTCAGGGCTTTTTTTAACTTATTTTTCTCTTTGTCCCTAGGGTGTGCTGGATAGATTTTCCCAAATTCAACCTAAACTTATATTCTCTGTTGAAGCTGTAATATACAATGGCAAAGAGCACAATCACTTGGAAAAGCTGCTGAGAGTGGTAAAAGGTATTTCACTGCATCTTACCTAGTCTTAGTTATACTGTAGTTCTCTGGGCACTCAAAGCCTGCACTGACACTGCTTGTTGCTGTCCTTCCTTCTTTACCGTATCACTGTGGTCACTTAGATTTTTCAGAACAGATTTGAGTAAAAACTGAGTGGTCCTTTCTGTAATTTTAACAGTTTTCTGCTCGTTTAACTTAAATAGATCACTAGATATTAGTCAGCAGTAGAAGCAGAGGAACAGGAGCTGATGATAGTGGTTTTTAAGCTCAAGCAAAGTGCCGCTGAAGACAAATGAAAGAGGTATTAAAGCACTAGAGCTTGCAGATTTACACATAAAAGGCTGGCAATATTGAGGAAATTATATCTTGGGTAACAGTTTAATCTTTTGGGGTTTCAGTACATCAGAATTATTTCTGTTAGTTCGTGCGTTACACTGTATGATTCAATCAGGTAGAAAAGACCTCTGGGTATGTAACTGAGTGTAGTAAATAATTGTTTTCCTCTTTCTTTCAGGGCTTCCAGATCTAAAAAAAGTGGTAGTGATTCCGTATGTCTCGTCAAGAGAAACCATAGATATTTCCAAGATTCCAAACAGGTAATGGGAGCTTGTGAGCTGTGAGTGTCCAAACGAGGCATGAGATGGATATTGATAGCTATGGAAACTGCCTGACTGACCTCTTGAACTTGGAAAAAATGGGATTTAGTCAGATTTAATGTGGTCCATCTTCATACTAGAAACAGAAGTGTAGTGTAGGTTGCTGCAGATGTTTTGCTCCTACAAAACCATCGTTGGTATTACTGGCTCTCAAATGAAGGCAAAATTCAGTAGGACATAGCAGGGAGAACAAAGCTTCCTGAGCTGAATAATTAATAATCTAAATGACATTTTTAGAGTTTCTTTTGCTTACTTACTGATTTGGATTATGTATGTTTAAACACTTTTTGGAAATGATTGAGTCCCAGGGTTAGACTCAGTTTGTTCCTGTCTTCTTTGAACTGTTAAGACTGGTAGCTGGTCACAGGGGCAGGTTTATAGGTTTGATTTTGTTGTCTTCAGTCTAAAGATTATACTAATGGCTTATTTTAAAACAGAAAAGGAAACAAAATAATTAGCAATTCAAAGAGGAGACTAAAAATAGAAATTATATACATAGTTTGGGTATATGGCTTATTGTAAATGAGCTGTTGAATACAGAGGTAATCATATGTATGGGCTGGGGTAATGCTTTCAGAAGTTTCTGCAATGTTCCTTTTTTTTTTTCCCCCTCTTGTTCAGTGTCTTTTTAGAAGACTTTTTGGCTACTGGGAAAGGAGACCAGGCTCCCCAGCTGGAGTTTGAGCAGCTGCCTTTCAGTCATCCTCTCTTCATCATGTATTCATCAGGCACAACAGGGGCACCAAAATGCATGGTGCATTCAGCAGGGGTATGTCTTCCCTCCTGGAGCTGCATTGCCTGTACTTAACTCCCTGGATTACATCTTCCCTTTAACAGCATCATACCATGGTGTACTTTAAGGAAGAATTGATTGCTGACAGTGTTTCAGTAACTTGCAGTGAACCTTTTTATTTATAAGTGGCTGTTTGAAAGCAAATATGGATTGCTATAAAATATATTGGTTTAGAGATCAGTGTGGAGACCTTTCAGATTTCTGGCAGGAAGTATCAGTCACAAAAGCATCACTAGAACTGGCCTGACTGATACTTGTAGAGGAAAGGCCAAAAAACTTGAATTGGGTGTTTGGAACTGATTTTTGGACTCTGCCAAGCTAAGGCCCATAGGGAGCTTGCAGTTTTTATAATCTAGATTATTTTTTGCTTTAAACTGTATTCTGTGTTTATTAGTTCAGAGTATGTTATTCTCATCAATCCTTTTTTTTTAAGGAAGGAAGCCAGAAGGTTACCATCCCCTTGAGTGTAGGTTTTGCTTTGTATGGAATCTTTGCTTTAGGCCATGTCTTGTTATGGCTAAAGGTGTATATGATATTAGTGCCAAAATGGCCTGTGCTCACGTTATTTCTGTTTACTATTGATGTTCTCAAGCTCTTAAAGTAGAGGAAGTGACTCCAGCAGTCAGGCATAGTGTTGAAACTTTAACTCTTCCATTAGTGTAATCCTTCAAAGGCAGGGCTTTTTCCCCCTCAAGGCAGGCAGGATGTGTTGAACAGTGCAATTGTACCAACATGTGTAAATGGAACTGCACAACTTTTAGCCAGAGTCCATCATTTCTGGTGTTTGCTCTGAAAGTCAGGATGAGCATCCTGCAAGGCTGGGTGGCCTGAGGGCAGGATCCTTTGATGCTGTGCCCATGGTGTGTATGTTCTTGCCTCTCTTTGATGGCAAGGACTGGAGGATTTGCCCGCAGACAAATCCCCTGCTGCCTGTAAACACTCTGCTTTATATATTATCAATAGGAGTTCATGCCAGGCAGCATGTGATACACAAAATGGTCCCATTGGGACACATCCAGTGTTTGTGAAGAAGGTATATTTTGTGGTTTGACAGCTGTTTTGAAGCTGTGCTGGCTTTAGACTGGTTAAGTACTTGCAGGGGTGGATTAGTAAAAACAGGACGGGTGTTTTGTTCAGTGATGGGTGATAAACAGTAGAGATGAAAACAGATGTAGATCAGACAGCAGGACTCTGCAACAAAGTTCTTTCTTTTCCCATGTTCCTGTGTTGTTGCTTAGCTGAATCATTGCTCTGGTCTCCATCTTTTCAGTTTGTACAGAGCTACCCTAGAGTTTAGGTACAGATTACTCATCCTTGCTGGGGAGGAGAGGAGGTAATGGATGGATGAATAGGTTTGTAATGATTCTGTTCCTATTGAGCAGCTCTAGTTCTGTGTTGCAGGGTAACTTTTTTTCCCCCTTAAGTTCTAGAAATTGCCTAAAAGCAAGTTGTTTCATCAGAGGCTGCAGGAGTTGCATGCTTTGTATGTGTCAGTGTGAATAGGGCCTGCAAAGAGTCCATGCAAATAAATTCTTAGATGCCTTCTACACACTTGGTTGGGTTCCTCTGTTTGTTCTTGGCATAATCTTGTTTCCACTGGAATTAATAGTAGGATTCTTATTGATTTCAACAAAAGCAAAATTAGTCCACCATCTTTGTTTCATTTTCCAGCCTTACATTAACTCAAGTTTGGTTTTGGTAATTAAAACAGCAAGAAGAGATGACATTTCAATGAAGACATTTCAAGTATTGCTTATTTATAGCATGCTTTGATACTGTGTTGTTACTGTAGTGATTTTAGATGCCAATAGGCAGCTTACTTTAAATTCACAACTCAGTTTATCTAATTCTGCAGTATGTTTCTGGTCTATTTTCCCTGCACATATTCTGTTTTCTCAATACACAGTGAAATGACACATTATAAATAAAGAAAATGCAGCCAGGTCATGGGAGATGTTTTAAAAAGTGGTGCCTCAGAGAGAGTAGGCTTTTTCTGGTGTGTATGGTATTGAACAGTTAGGTGTGCTACAGAAAGACATTTGAAGGGTTCTTTTTAAATACAAAAAATACATTAGTGAGTAATTGTTGTTCTTTAGTCCTAAAAACATTGGTTCTGCTTCTTACCTCGTTCGTACAGGCCCTTTTTTGGTTATTCCATATTCCCAGCTATCTAAGGAGATAACTTTCTGATAAAATCCACATCATTTCTTTCCATCTTAAAGACTTGCAAGACATCTGCCCTGCTGCAGACTCCTTGTGCAGCTGCAGGCAAGTCACTCTGAGGATTTTTCATGCTCGGACTCTTTCTGAACAGCATGTAGAGAACACTGCTGGTTTGAGACCAGGCTGAGCAGCCATGAGTAGTTACTCATGGCAGGCTCTCAGCTGTGTAACTGCTTAGCACTGGTCCCTCCTGAGCCACACTGTGGCCCAGGAGCAGCAGTGCCTGCTGGTTTTTGACACTGCAGATGCTCAGCACTTCACCTGCCTTATGTTGAGCCCACTGAAGACAAGTAGACCAGTAAGTTTTATCAGCTGCCAGATCTGTGTCATGAAATGCTACATGCTTGGGATTTATTTTGAGGGTTGTAAAAGTCCTATAAATAAACAAGCCCTATAAATAAACTTGAGAGAGCATCTTGGGCCATAAGCTCTTTGGAACAGCTCTGCCTTCTCCCACAGTACCTTTGTTTCCAGGCTGAGTCTTAACAGGTTTTGCAGGGGAATAGTTCATAGCCTCTACCTGAAGTCATTGTTTTTAAAATCCCCTTTTGATCCCAAAACTGTGAAGTAGCAAAAACTGAATGAAGGAAAAAGAGAACCAATACTTATTTTAATTGAATTTGACTTTTAATTTTGCTATTTCTTGTGGCTCTTTCAGTATCTCCTGCAGGGGCAGTGTGATTTCTTTTTGTAAATGCAGTAATTATGTTAACACCTGCAATTCTTCTGGCAACCTTAACAATTCAGTTAGACACAGTGTTTCTAAGTCCTAAAGGTTTTGGTAATTTTCAGCAGTAGAAGATGGTAGCTATAGCTAGGTGGCAGTGTTGTACAGCTGAGGGTGTTCAAACAGCAGCAGGTGAATTCAGACCTGATTCCTTTGAGCCGTGAAGCAAAAATAAGATTTACTCCTTTATTTTTATTTAATGTTTTCTGCCTTTTCTCCCGAAGCGTTTGCCAGTTTTATGACTCTCCTTTTTCATTTCAAATGTTTATCTGTAATCTTTTTTCTTTCAGTGTAAATCTTGTTTCCTGCTTATGAGGCTGTTAATAGTTTCACTGTAACTCCTTGCATAAATGCGAAAACCATTTTTTATTTTAACATCAGCCACGTTAATTTGTCACTGAGGTGAAGTGTCTTAATGAAGTAGTCTGTAAATTTATTTATCCTAACAAGTTATGTTTTAACGATGATCAGGAAGGTACTTTAGCAGCATTTCCAACAAAAGAAAAGTAATATATTCAAGTACATTATTAATACTGATGATGTGAGCAGTGAGACATTTCACATTGCTAGTCACTTCAGTGCTTACAAGAGATCTCTAGTGTTAGGTGTTATGTCTCCTAGATGTTAATAGATAAGATAATTCGGATACATAGTGCTAATGTATAGCAGCTGCTGCAGTTTATGGCAGCTCTCAGTCCTTCATTCCTCCCAGTTGCCCAAACATGCTGAAAATGAAACTCTGTCAAAGGGCTTATCTTGGAAAATCTGACTGGTAAAAGCCTGCTGTTTAAAATGATGGTCTGCATGGAGTACTCTGCAACTCTGATTGCAGAGTTGAAAGTCAGGGAAGTTATTTATTCCATGGGTTAACAGTGATGTGCCATGAGAATTGCTGAGGTCTAATGAGAGAGGCTGAAAAGTTATGTGAGAATGAGGAATGCAATTGCTGCTGCAGTAAATAGACCCTGGGATTTACTTCAGTTGTAGTTAAAGGAAATACTTGCTTTAATCCTGCAGTACATCCTGCAAAGTATTGACTACATTAGTAATTTTTAAGTCTTAATGTGCTGTCAGAGTTTTGCTTTTCACTTACATGATCTTGTATTTTTCTTTCACTGTCTTTGCAGGGCACACTAATACAGCACCTGAAGGAACACATTCTTCATGGCAACATGACCAGCAGTGATGTGATTATGTACTACACAACGGCAAGTGGGGCTTAAGGCACTTCTAAAATCACTATAATAAATCTTTCTTATAAAGATGAGAACTTTTCATACAAATCTACAAGTACATTTTAAAGTATTTTAAATGTTTGTTCTGCAAGGGATTGTCCTATGTAACTGAGTTTAAAAAAATTCAGGTAAAATAATAAAATGCAACCTTTCTGATGAAAGGTCAAACCCATGTTAAATGTTTCTGACCTAACTGGTGAGGAAAATGAATTGATTTTTACAGTCTCTTAGGTTTATTGATCAAACTGCCTCATCAATATCACCTACAAATCAGATTCCAGTTTCCTCCATCATGCAGGGCTACATCATACAGAAGATGAGAATTTCTATTATGTGTCTGTTTTGATGGGGAGGAAAGGAACTGCCCAGCTCTAAATTTTGTAAAGGAAAGGGAGTAAACCTGATCTATGTAAGAGTTCAGATATGGGGTGGGGGTGCTTTTTCCGATGCTGTGATAAAGAAAAATGATTCCAAAGATTCCCACTACTGCAGCTGTTTGAGAAGGCTCATGTCTTTCCTCATGAGTTCCTTTCTGAGCTTTAACACAACTAGTCAGTTTGCAATATCTCCATGGAGGGATCATTGTAATTGCCTTGTCTCAAAGTTGTCTTGTCTCTTGACTTGTGCCTTAAAACTATGTGTGTAGGGAGGCATGGAATTCCCATCTCATTAGATATTTGTAAGGATAAGTTAGATGAGCATCCATCAGGAACGTGTAGCTGCTCAGTCTTGGGACAGGTGAGAGGATAAGCAGTGCTTCAGCCTTATTTGTGGATTCTTAAATAATGTGGTTAGACATAATAAGTGGAGATGGGCGTGAACTCAGGTATTTAACAGTTTCTTACAGCAGGAAAACTTCAGGCAAGGGAAGCAGAGGGCAGGGTGGTATCTCTGGCATAAGGGCAGGGACCATGCCTTGCTCCAGCTTCTGCCAACATTCACACCTGTCCATCTTTTTATAGTTGCCTGTAGCTCCTCTACCAGCATGTGACAGCAGACAGCCCTCCTGATCCTGTGCTAGAGCTGCCAGAACAGCAGACAGGGAACTGATGAAGATAAACTGATGTAGGTATCCTCTCTTTTCCAGACTGGCTGGATGATGTGGAATTGGCTAGTGTCTGCACTTGCTACAGGAGCTTCAGTGGTCCTGTATGATGGATCTCCTCTAATTCCTTCACCAAATGTGCTCTGGGACTTGACTGACAGACTAGGGTATGTAAACAAGATTAAACAGAAGGATAATGGCATTTGCTTCTGTCACAATGACCGCATCCAAGCAACCTCACTGAAGGTGTTGTTCCCTTGGTCAGGAACTTGTACACAGCATGACATGGTTTGGCTTTTGACTTAGCCTTGATTGGAAGTACTTTTAAAATTTTGTGCTAAAAGCACTTTTTGAGAGAGCAGGAGAGACAAAGAGCTAACTGTTTCAAATTTGAGTCAAGTATTAGAATTCCAGGCAAACAAAGAGTTCTGGTTCAATAGTCAGTTTTCAAGAGCAGCCTTTTCAAAAGGCAGTAATTGGGAGCAATCTGACGAGTAATTTCTCAGTGCACTCAGAACCTAGTAAATAAGAATCCTTTTTTCAAGCAGCTCAACGTAAGACTCAACATAGAACTTTGACTTAAAGACATAAATTGACTGGAAAGACTCAGCAGGGTTGCTTGTATTTCCATACTTTGCTTTTTAATCTATAATGCTTAATTCTTGCTGACAAGCTATTCTGTAATTGTTTTATACTGTTTTTTTCTGCCTGCAAATGCTCAGAGTGCCCTTTCTTGAAGCCTAGAGAAATAGCAGGTATCACATAAAGCACTGTAAAACACTGTGGTGGCATTTAACTTTGTACGCTGGTTGAACTTTGTTTTTTTTATTTTGGTTTTTTTTTTTTGGTAACTTTCCTATTTTGCCAACTGGATGTAAGCAGTAGATTTGAATGTTATTACTGGTAAAATAAGTGTCATTTTTAATTGATAATGAAAATTAATTTGGTGGTAGAAAGTGGATGAGTGGAAAAGTGGAAAAGATTCACTTTCCAAGTCTTGATAATTAATAATTTAAACCTCACTGTCTCTCATGACATGTAATATTTAAAGACTGGCATTTTGTCTCTGGCTGTTATAACTGAAAGTTAATGCCTAGTCAAAATGCTTCCAGCAGAGAAACAGCACAAAACAAACCCACAAACTTGAGCCATGCCCCACCCCCTAAAAAAACCCTGGTAGAACAACAGGCAAAAAATCAGAATCGAGAAATAACACAGCTTATTTTTAAGCATTGTTTCTTTTCTACATGCCAAATCTGAGTGAAGATAAATGTGTCTGCATGTCTCACTTTTGTAATCTGGCGCTAAAAGCGGTGGCCATCTGGGTGGTACTTCATCATGCAGTCTGTTCCCAGCTCACTCATATGTTAAATATGTTAAAAAAAGGCTTCAACATGTGAAGACTACCTTACTTCTTTGGAGATGCACCACACTTGCCTTCAGATACCCTGATGATACTGTAAGAATATGCAATCTCCTACTGCATGGCAAGAACTACTCAAGTGGACATCCATTAAATGATCTGTTGAAGTGAATTAGTGGATGGTGACTAAATGCAGTTATGTAGCATTTGGAAGGGAATAATAGGAGACTTGGCTCTACTGTGCTATAGAGGAAGTGTCAAACATTAAAAATAAATAGGGAAGTATTTTGTATTCTAATGTAAAATAAGCACTGACTGGAGACATGGAAGGAAAGAGATTACATAAGCATAAAAATAGTTCACATGGTTGAGGTACATGGGAACTGAGGAGCAGTGTCCTGTGGGCTCTTGTGGTGGAAGGTTCCCTGCCCATGGCAGAGGGGTTGGAGCTAGGTGACCTTTAAGGTCCCTTCCAAGCCAAAGCATTCTGTGATTCTGTTGTGCTGTTCCCATGTGCCTGGTAAATTGCTCTATGCCACTGATGTGTTTGTGCAAGTAACCTGAGAGCTGAGAGTCATCCACCTGAATGGCAAAGGGAAAGCATCTCCTTTTGATAGTGTTGAAATATCTCCTTGCCTGGAAGTGTTCTACCTTCTATCTTGCCTTTGGAGTAAAAGCCAAGATAGCAGGATCTTATTTTTAAGCTCTGCTGGTGTCTGTATTGCCCATGTTCTGTGCACTGAGACTGTAGCCCTTATCCTCATCTATCTCTGCATTTTCTTGAGTGAGTTTATTGCTGTAATATAAAATGAATTAGCAGAAGGCAGGGAAGAGGATTTCCTGAATGTTAGCAGAAACATTAAACTAGCACTTCTATCAATAGAGTAGGGAAGAGTCACAGCCTTTGTTTCAAGTTTTAATTCCATTGTATTGCAGAGCTCTAAATAGACTTTGCAAGGGCAGGATTGAGTTGTTCAGTTGGGCCAAATTTCCTGTTTGTTTAGGCACCTGCAGTTCAGGCTTTCACCAGTGGAGACTGAAAAATCCAATCTCTGGAAAATCACTGAGTGCTGTCTCAGAGTAAAGTATTTTTTATCCAACTGTGCTCTGAAATGGCAGAGTTTTTCTGTGTAAGAGTGTACCAAGGCAACAGCTTTGCATTACACAGCTCTGTGGCAATTATGACCCATTAATGAAGTAAACATTATAACATTTTCTGTTGTCTTTGGAGTGTTCTGCACTTACAAATTCCTGTAAGTGAAAGCGAATGATGTTTTCATGAGGTGGAAAGCTTTGCTTAATATTTAAAGATAGAATGAAAAGTTTCAAAGCTGCAGAAGTGACACGTGATCTGACTAATTTTGATAGTTCAAAAGGATGTGCCTTCCACTTAGAAAGCTTTAAGAGACTGCATTGTTTGACTAATCCACATACAGAGTGTCTAACAGCCTCTGCTTACAGCAGTGGGAATTGCAGGTCTTTGGAATCTTAGCATATTTAAATATGCAAAACATTTAAACTTTTTTTCCCTCTAGGATCACCATCCTTGGAACGGGTGCAAAATGGCTGGCTGTGCTAGAAGAGAAAAATTTAAAACCATGTAAGCTTCAAAAAGCTGGTGAATCCCTCCTGTCTTCCCTCCTGTCTTCCCTCCTACCTTTCCTCTCCTGGTTTTGGGCCTGTGTCTTGTCACAGTCCTTTATGCAATTATGCTGTGTTGTAGTGACAAAGAGTTTGAAACCCTTGTAAAAATTATACCTTAACCTGTGTTGATTTTTCTCCTTTCTAAGGTGAAACACACAATCTCCAAACACTCCACACTATCTTGTCTACAGGATCACCACTCAAATCTCAAAGCTACGAGTATGTCTACAAACACATAAAAAGCAGTGTCCTCCTGGGATCCATTTCAGGTGATGCTTTTATACTGCAGCATCTCAGTAATTCTCTTGATTGCCTGTGCATTTCCTTCTTGCTTATTTGTGCTGTATGTTTGGGAAGCTTAAGCCTTGGATCATTTGGGAATGCTTATAGTTAAACTGAAATGAACTGTCTTTTTAGTGCAGAGATTTTTCTGCATAATTCACTGTGCCATAATGAAACTCATACACTCCAGAAGGTTTTTGGTGGATGTTTTGGATCTTAGCTCTTTTTAAGTATGATCATTTATTTTGACTGGCTGTCCTTAGGGGTGGCAGGGTTGAGATCAAGAAAAGAGTCTATTAACCTGCAGAACATACTGTTCTGCAAATAGCTGACTTTAGCAGAAAATATCTCTTGGAGAATTCCCATTTCAGTTCTTTTGTGCCAAGTAATTGGCACTGCAGACAGATTTTTTGTAAATTATATAATTAGAGAAATATCAAGCCCCCATGCAGTGCAGTTTGTTGTGAGGAGTGCTGAGGCAACTTGTAGTCACATAAGATCCACCACAGCACTCTTCCTTTTGCTTTGTAACAAGGACTGACTCTTTCAAAGGGCTTTTTAACTCAGTTTAGTTTGATTTTTTTTTTTCAAGTATAACCATTCTGCTGAAGTTCTCAGACTCTGAGCTCAATAAGAGTAGTGCTGAATCTAGAACTTGCTACTACAGACATTAATAGACTCTAATGCAGAAACCTATTTTTGAGTAAAGCTAGCATGATTGATTTGTGTCTTAATTCTTCTTCTTTGAAGTCCTAGAAAGACTATAAATATTCCAGTTAAGTAAGCACTTTGACAGTATCTATTTTTCTTAAGATAACTGTTCATCCTATAGGCATGGCTCCCCTCCTGCTATGCTAATAAGATATAAAAGCTAAGTAAATGTTGAGTGGAATAGCTTGACTGGTTACTTTAATCAAAACAAACAAGAAAACATTTCTAGGTAATTCTCTGAATATCTTAAGTCTGTAAACTAGAGCCTGTTTATTTTCTCATTCTTCTATAAGTGGAAATTTCCTTAAATGAGATTAAAGAAAATGTTGAAAGGTGAAAAGTTATGCCTGAAGGGGTAGTTCTGCATGAAAGGCATACATACATAAAGACATATAAAGCAAGGAAGGAAGTCTTTTAATAAAAGTCACAACATTATCATGGATAATGCTGTTTGGTTTATGGTGCTTAATGTGGATCAGAAGCATTTGGCAAAGGTGGCAGTTTACTGTTCTAGAGTTCAAAGTACTGTATACTCTAAATGGACTTCTTTTTATTATAGGTGGAACAGATATCATTTCATGTTTCATGGGTCAGAATGTTACAGTTCCAGTTTACAAAGGAGAAATTCAGGCCAGAAATCTTGGAATGGCTGTAGAAGCGTGGAACGATGAAGGTAACTATTATCCAAAACACTATGCATGCTTATAAAACAAAGTAGTTACATGACCTTAATTTTCATTCATCAGATGGGTCAACAGTCAGCTGTTAATGTGTGTGATTCCACTTTAGAAATGTGTTCCACAAAAGCTGCATATGGATCCATCTGATCTGGATTTTAAGGGACTCCAGTGAAGATAATAGTCCTTCCTTTTCTATTACTCTGCTAAAGCACATCAAGGCCAAATTCCAGCTTTTGGTGTGTGTTCCCTAGCTGTGTTGCTGGGCATGCCAGGCTGGCTTCCACCCTGTGGTGTAACTCTCCTGAAGTTACTGAGGTTAAGATAGGGATGATCTTAATAACTGAACACCAGTTGAAACCAAGACCAACAGTCACAGCATGTCTCATACTTGCACCAACATCTGGCTGTAATAAGTGAAAACTGTAGGTGCTCTTTGCTTTGGTACCCTCTTATTTACTGAAGGGAAAATGCTTCTTTCTTTGTAAACAGGAAAACCAGTTTGGGGTGAAAGTGGAGAGCTGGTTTGTACCAAGCCTATTCCCTGTCAGCCCACACACTTCTGGAACGATGAGAATGGAAGCAAATACAGGAAGGCTTATTTCTCAAAATTCCCAGGTATGTCATGAAGGGCTTTGGATATTGCTCAGACTGGCCAAGGATCCAGACTGTGTTGCTGTTCCTAGCAAGGCACAGGTTTATTTGCTATTGCCCAGTGACAGGCATGTGCAGCTTTGAATTTTGATTCCCAGGGTGAGAACCCCACAGCGTGTTTCATATCATCTCTCTCTCTTTTCTAGTGCTTTGTTTTGAATATGGATCCAAATCAAACTAGTAAGAACCTCTGCAAGGCTCTAATCCCATTTTGCTGCTTTCATTAGGCAGATCTGACTGTCACAGCCTCCCAGACTGCAGTGCAGACACAGACTGCTTGGCATGAGTGTGAAATGGAAGTGCTGAATAGGTCAGGTAGCAATCAGCTATTAATGAGTCCTACTGCACCTCTGCCAGACTGCTCCTGCCTAGCTGGAGGAGTGAATCCCAAGGGATAAGTGCTGACCTGCTACCTCATTAGCATGAAGTTTAAGTATATGCTGCCTCAAACATGCATATTCTGCATTCATAGTCTCCTACAGAGCAAAGGAAGAGGCACTGTGGGCCAGGGCTTTCTTCCTAATGATTGTGGAGGACTCTGCTCATCCAGGGCTTTTCCTGATGTGGCACAGTGATGCTGAAATCCCTGCTGCCTCCTGGGCAGGGATTTTATTGGAGCAGGATCTCCAGCTGCTGTTTTTTGGAGATGGAAGCTTTTTTAAAAATAGCAGCAATACAGAGTGGATTCACAGGAGAAGTCAGATGTTTAGCAGGAGGTAATCTTATAGGAAAATTGAGGGAATGTGGAAGTTGCAGTCTGCATGTAAGCCTGACAGCAGTAAATAGAAAAAATGTGTGTGACAGTTGTTAGACTGAAATCACTGTGGTCCAGAGGTTCTGTCTTTCTTTGTAAATGGACTTAAGGTTGTAACATTTAAGTTAGAAGATGGTCTTACTTGCACATGCATGTGAGGTTGGAATTTTTCTCTAGAAAAGCTTGAGTAGAATTGGCTTGTTCTTCTGGTTTTGGCAGGGTGTGTAGCAGTATCAATTTTAAAAATAATACAGAAGTCATTCTAGCTCCGAAAAGTCAAATCAAATTTTACATTAACACAGATCAAGAACATTAAGCACATAAGCTCCCTAGGGAATTGTTGAGACCTATTATGCAAGCCCAGAAAACTTCTTGCACAGAATTTTACATTCCAAAAGAAGTGGATCAAGAAAGACTGGTGGGAATATTGTTACCTTTGTGGAGGATTCTTCCAGTTTGCTCAAAATGTGGTGTTCAGAGGAGCTATTCATCTGCTTTGTAAAAGGATGCTGTATAGTTATGCAAACAAAGAATCAGAAGATAATGCGGAGTTTGATCCTAACATGTGAGCTGCTCCTGGTTGTGCTAGCTCTTTGTAGTAAATGCAGTATGAATTGTTTGTGTAGTTAAATACTGCTACACTTGCTGTGGGTAGTTCTCAAAGCATATCAGATAAATTATACTTAACTATGTATTTTATTAAGTTAATGTGAGTTGAGTTACACAAATGTCTACTGTGACTGGATGAGTAAGAAATCAGCTGCTTAACCTCTGCCATTCCATAATAGGTGTCTGGGCCCATGGTGATTACTGCAAAATTAATCCCAAGACTGGAGGAATTGTCATGCTGGGCCGCAGGTAAAGTGTTTTGAGTAAACAAGTGCTAAAATTTGCAATCTTCCCTTTGGAGTATGATGTCCATGATTCTGTATCACACCTGTTAGCTTTATATTTTATTTAATCCAGTATTGTGGATTTCAGACCTTAAATTAACCAGAGCAGCTGGATTAGAGGGAAGGGACTAAATTTCAAAGTTCTACACTACTTTTTTTATATGTGAACACAAGACAGTATTGGACTTTCTGCTTTCCATGGTTTATAATGATCACTTAATTTCAACTGAGAGTGCAGCACATTCAAGGTGGTGAATTGGAAGATTGTCCTCTGGTCTTGCTTTTAACATCGACTTGTTTTACAGCAAAACTTAATTATAGAAGGTCAGGTATTAAGCTGTGCCTGTTTTAGTGATCATTAGACATTCAGGATCACAATTGGGGCTGAATTTTCTGCTTGCATTTCAAAGCTGCTGTTTGAAACAAAGTTGAGTGAATGAATACTGTTGAGGTTCTTGGTACAGCTTCCTTTTAATGAGCAGAATGCCTTTTTGAGTCAAGTCCTCTTACAACTCTGTTTCTGATGTGGCTGCACTTTCACTGCCTGAAATGTAGAGAGACTCGGTTAATTGCATCAATTTTTTCTCTTCATGAAACTGTAATCACATTTTAATGCTTCTTTGTTTTGTTTGTCTGACTTTTCAGTGATGGTACATTAAATCCAAATGGAGTAAGATTTGGAAGTTCTGAAATCTATAACATAGGTATGAAATCAACTTTCCACCTCTTTCAGCTATGCCATTGTTGCCTTAAATCTGAAATCCAAGCATTATAAAGTGCTTGAAAGGATTAAGTAATGAAAGACTTGCTGTCTTTCAGATGAAAGACAATACAGAGTATATTAGCATTAGCAAAATTTGGTTTTGTGAACTTGAAGCTGGTTGCTTTCCTGAAGTATGTATAGGGTGGGAGATGACTAGTTGAGATTATACAAAAGCAACATCCTAAGGAGCATATAGTAAGGCTTTACAGACTAATAGTATCATGCAGGTTTATAAGAGAACACTTAACTTGTCAGGCTTTTTTTCCTCCCCAAGACAAGCTCTTGACATTGTTTTTATTGTACCTTACCTGGTAATTAAGCAGCAGTTCTTGAGCTTGTGCTTTGTGCTTCAAAGATGTTGTGGCAGGTGGTGAAACTGTCCCTGCAAAGGTGCTAATCTGAGACTTAAGCACCTGTTGCCTCTTTGTTCTTCTGTCATCAGGCACATTATTCTCCTGTCTATGCATCAGTGGGAACTGTGAGGAAAGCCAAAGAAAATGGCTTAGTGTAAAAGCTTATCATCTGTCCCAAAAGCTATAGCAATTTTTTTTTTTGTTATGGACCTAAATGTATCCTTAAACCTGGATTTTCACCTGGACAGGAGTTAAAATTTCAGAGCACCCAGAGGAGAAGCTGAGTGTAGGATAATCTAGGCAGGTTGCTTGTTTGCCTTTGCAGCTCTAGGGGAGGTGACTTTTTTTTTTTTTTATACAACCACAAAAAATGTGCATCACGAATGGTACATAAATACAAACACTAATAAGGACTTCCCCTTTATTTTCAGTGGAAGCCTTTGAGGAGGTTTCTGATAGCCTCTGTGTCCCTCAGTACAACAAAGATGGGGACGAGAGGGTGATACTCTTCCTGAAGATGGCATCAAACCACACGTTCAGCAAGAGCCTGGTGAAGAGGATTCAGGACGCGATCCGGATCGCGCTCTCCGCCAGGCATGTTCCCAGCCTCATCCTGGAAACCAAAGGCATTCCGGTATGTCATGAAAAATGCTGCCTACTTTTTTCTTTGTCACCTTGAATAGTAATTAAGGAGCAGTTGTCACTGCTCTTCAAACCCACATACATGGAAATTTTAGCATCTCAAAAGTGTATTCGAGCTTTATAAATAGTTTGTCTATGTTGCCTAGCAACATCTTTTCATCTCCTTTTCAGCTAAGCATGGTTTTTGTTTTTTAAATGTGTTGCATTTTCTCAGGAATATATCCTTAACCTTTTAAAGGAAAATATTAAGAAGGTAACTTAATAGCTTTTCTTGATATCCACAAACTTATTTTGTTTCTGTTTTCCTGTTACAAGTGACATTCTTAGGAAAGCTGAGAGCACCCAGCAAATTCAGAAAATCATTTTGTAAATGATTTCACTTTTACATCTGTTTAGCTGCTTAAATGTAGCTCTATCACTCTTAACTGTAATAGTAATTAAAATTAAATTGTTGTGCTTGTGTGGGAGGAGAAGTTTGTGTAGCTCAGGGTTCTGCATGCTCAGTCTCCTGAAGCTGTTCTGCCACAGTGCTCGTTGTGTGAACTCTTTAGTTAGAATGTCTGTTTTTATAATCTTCTCTAATGCTACAGTCTCCTCAACAGCTCTGAGCAGCAGAATGGGGGTGGAGAGTGTAGGTTTCCCAAGTCCATTTGCACATAAACTTGAGTTCTCCATTTGATACTCTTGATACTCTTTAGCTGCCAGTGTAGGTTTCCCTGTGAAAGTGCTTTAGGGTTCAACATTACCAACCTCTGTGGTCCACATAGTGATCTGGTTCTGATCTGTTGAGTTATTTCTGCTTCAGGCCACTGTTGACAAATAGTACTTGGCTCAAAAGAGTGTTAAAAAAAAAAAATCCCCTGAAGTTTAGGTTTTCTGTGCTGTAACTCAGCTTCTGCATGAAGTGTTGAACTTGTGAACTGTGTAAATCACCTGAATGTACAGCACAAAGTTGATTCTAGTGAGGTGTTTGTGATGGGCTGCCCCTCAGGAAAGCCTCCTCAGATCATTAATTAGTTCACACATTGACTGAATTGAGAATTGAGTGAATTTTAATTACCTTTCAGATAAATATGCCAGTGGTAAAGTGATCAAAGCTGTCCCCCATCTTCTAAAGTTTGCTTGGAAGGGAAACCTCCTATTTTCTCCTACTTTTAGAAATGTTTGCATCCTCATCTGCAAATACAATCTAATTCTGACACTGATTTCTGGTAGAAATAGTACAGCTGTGGTGAGGTGATTTAGTAATACAAAGAATGGCTTTAATGGGATGTCCAGGTTTTAAAAAAAAATGTAGTGCAAATCTATCTTGTCTTATCCTGAGTATGCATTCTGGTCATCATCAACAAGATTTTCTGATTCAAGTAAACAAATTTGCTTTGAACAGTCTGATCTTTGTTTTCTAAAGGGCAGAATTCCCCTGCAGGACAGTGAGATTTTCTGGTTTCTGGGCACTTGTGAAAATTAGTTTGCTAATCATTGAGGAGAAGGAAGAAGAGTGGTTAATCACCGTGGCTCAGGGGGGTTAGATTACACATGACTTCAGTAGATCTAAGAAGGACAAGTTTGGTTTAGCATCAGGATCAATATTGCAAGAGTGCATTGAGTTGAGGATTATTTAACTTGGCTCTGAATGATCTCTAATGAAAAATAGTGGTGCCTGGAGTTGAGTTTTCAGTGGTTTTGGAGGCCAGGAACAACCTGAGTTCTTTGATCAGCAGATTCATTAGTGAAGCAGGTGGGGATCCTGTTCCTAGAGCAGACAGACAAAATTAAGGAGATACTTAAAAGTCAGTTTTTCCAAGTTGATGCCCCAAAATGTCTGTGGTATCAGCACAAGGAAAGGGCTGATAAAGCCTTGGTGCCTGTAAAAGCAGAGATTGTCCAAAAAGGCCCTTGGCAGTTCCTGTTCACATTGGAGTAGTTGTTCTTTCTCATACTTCACTAGGTAGAAATTATTGCTCTGATCCCAAAAGGATAACAACTAGGGTTTTGTTTTTCTGCAGTGTCCTTACTTAGAGTAACACAATGTAATAGAATTTGTGTGATACATAAGTGGAGGTGAAACATGTTTGTTACACTTCATTTTGTTTGTTATGGTTTGTTTTGAAACATTTAACTATAGAAGACCAATTAAGCTCAGAGTTTCACTTTGCCCTTTTAGAAAAACTGTCCATTTAGGATAAAAAAAATCATGGTTTCTTTCTCCCAAATCCCAGTGCAGCTGGGCTTTGTTTTTTTTATCCCACCCATACAGAACTAAAAATTGTTTGAAAATTGGATGTGTCAGAACACAAACATTAAATATTTTTGGTGTTTATACCATGATTCTGATCTGGGTTTGTTGTTTTATATTGGAGCTTGATCGTGTTCTCACAGTACTACCAACAGGAGTAATAAACTAAAATGACATATAAACTCTTTGAATTCCACCTACTCTTCAAGTGATTTTTCAGAAGAAAGTACTTCAAATGTAACAGAAGAGAAGGCATTGTGCTTAAATTTTGATAGAGTTCTGGGATTGGTGGGGGGTTTCATGAATATTTCCATAAAGCTGCTACATCAAAAAAAATGTAATTTTATCTTTGCTGATTTTGTTTTTCAGTATACAATAAATGGGAAAAAAGTGGAAGTTGCTGTGAAGCAAATAATTGCAGGGAAAGAAGTTGAGCAGCGGGGAGCTTTCTCAAACCCAGAGGCTTTGGACCTGTACAAAAATATTCCTGAGCTTCAAGACTATTAAAGTCACTTATTTGGGTTTTTTTGCATTTGTCTTTGTTTTGTGTTTGTTTTGTATATACCAATACTGTATGTAAAGAAAAAGCTCTATTTAATACCAGTGGTTCTTTTAAAAGAAAAAATATTTCATGAAGTGCATTATGAAAGGCTTGGGTAAAGCTTAGCTCCCTTTTATTGGTTAAATATGCCATATATTTTGGTGGGGTTTTTCCCAGCCTGGAAGGAGAAACCTGCCTGTTTTGATTTTTATATATATGTGTGCATCTTTTCTAGTTAGATTTACATCAGCCCATCAAATGGGAGCACTAATAGTTGCGGTTGCAGATAGAATACTTCTTTCATAAAATATTTGCTTTCTTTTTTTAAACTGGATTTTTAGCAATGTTTTTCAATCCCATGTGTTTCAGTCACCTGTAAGGAACATACAGTGATTTTAACTCCTTGAACCCTGAAACATGCAAGTGGTTCTGTATGTAGTGTGCATTTAAATGTTTTTATAAAGCCAAATCATAATGCACAAAACCCATTTGACTTGACTCAGTTATTTCAGTCTTGAAATATCTCACGGTACCCTTGAAGGTAATTGCTGCTTCATTTTGTGATGTAGCCTTCCTATTGTTTTAAACTTTTGGTTGGTACACTTCTGGGGGCTCAGAAGGTGAGGGAGCAGTTGTCTCCTTGTTGCTGGGGTAACTCCAGGTTATTTCCATGGATTTTGCAGTCATTTCTCTGGATTAACATATCTGCAGCTGAAGAAGGTGTTTTGCTTCCTTGTTTGAAGTCCTTTGTTGGCTCTAGGGCAGAGATCCCATATTAAGCTAACTGAGGAATTTCAGTGTGTTTGTTTATTAAAAGCTGATGGGTTTTGTAACTTTTTTTACAAAATGTCACATTGAAAGTGAAAGACAAGTGTTTTCTAGCTCTGTTTCCTTCCAGTTTATAAAGGGAAAAATACTGTAATGAGCATACTAAAACAGTAAAATGGAAGCACTAAAGTGTTTTGTTTTTCATAAATACAGTTGCAGTAGTTGTACGACCCTCTGGCATCCAGTGTCTCCTGCACTATTTAAATTTTGTGGGTGAAATATTATTGTACTTACAACTGTGTTGAATGCATTCAGCGTTGATAAAGAGTTAATTAAAATGAATTGATTCTTTATATATATAATTATATATTCTGTTTCAACTGTTACTGTCTTTTTATTTTTCTTTAGAGTGGGTGTCATTTTTAGCTCAATTTGTTACCAGTTTTAATGGTTTTAATTGAAGTCTGACTTACTACAAAACTTTCTCTGTCAGTTTTATCCTATTTTCTTGTACAGAGCCCAAGACACTGTGGACACCCCCCACACTCACTGGGGGTTTTAGAAATCCCTCATTAGCAAACGTGGCTTTAAATATGCTGGTACTTCTTATACTGTACCAAGTCAGCCCATGTTAGCATGATAAATGTGGTAATACAAGTACCAATCACTCAGTAGAAAAGTGTAAAAAAAAAAAATGAGCTACCCAGCTGCCAATAACCTATGATTAAAGGTACTTTTAAATTCCTTCCCCCTCTGGCTTGCTACATATAAATTTTGCATTAACTGTGACTTTGTATTCATTAAAACTTCATTATATTGTTCTTTAATTCATGCAAAATGTGTGGAGTTTACAAAGCCCACAGATCCTTATTAATAAGTCATTTTGGGATATTTAATTAATTAAAGATAGTTTAGAAGCACAGATACTTTAAGAACATATACAATGCCTGGAGGCTGCTTTTTAAATCCTTTATCCTACTGGAAACACTGGAGAAAGTGTCATTAATGGATATAATTTGATCTCTTGCAAATGTCACATGTTGCAAAGCTTTTCCCAGACATTAGTTAAAAACAAAAATAGAGCAATACAGAAGCAGATCTCTGTGTACTGGAAGTGACTTTATATGACCATAAAGCCCTGATGGGTCCTGCAAACTCTGCTGTGCCTCACCTAGTCAAGGGTCTGAGTTTCAGAAATGCTGGATGTTGACAGCTCCTGGAAGCTCAGAGATGAGAAAATCTAGAGATGAGGAAAGGTAAGTGGGTACTTGAAAGGAGGGCTGTGGCAGAGCTGGGAACACTGTCCACAATTCCACAGTGCAGCTCCTCCTGTTCCAAATCCTTCCTCCAAACATCCAACTTGTATTTGCCTTTGCTTACCCCTAGTGTAAGTGACCCATGTCTTTGGATGCTGCCATAGAGCCATGAGGATGGCTGTACTCCCTCCACCTGGGGGTAGGCCAAAATATCCCTGGCACAAAAGCAGGGAGATAAAGTCATCATGATTTGCAAAGGAAGAGGAGAGAGCATCACTTTCTGTTTCCCACCCAAGTGGGTGTTTTCTGGGACTCAGGCAGAGGGGAACTGCAGTCCAATTTGGTTTTAAGGATGTCTTTGCAGACTGGTGGCACCCAAAAGCTTTGCTGCAGGGTCTGCCATGGCACTGAGCTTTGGTACCATGGTGTGAGCAGCAAAAATTCCTGTGAGCACCAGGCTCTGCTATGTTCCCAAGGCATAAGCTGGGCAAACCCTGCAGTGTGTGGCCAAGTTGATGGATCACTGAGCTACCTCAGGAGTTTTATCCAGGAAGACTTGATGCCTTAGGGCTTTCAGGATGTAATTAGTTGTACCTTGAGTGTGTAGCCCTCTTTATTTTTTTTTTTTTTGTTGCCTATTTATAATTTGAAGTTCACAGTGTTTTGCCTGGAAAGCTCCATGTGCAGATTTTAGTGGGATGTGTGGCATGCAAATAGATCTGGCTCTGGAAATGGCATTAAGCTCTGACTTAAATGTTGAACAGCAAAGCAATTAGAGCAGAGGAACTCCAGGCTAGGTGCTTTTCTTGCTCAGTCCTCAGCAAATTTGAGAGTGACTCTTGACTTATGGGATGGAATCAGCCCATTTGCCCTTGAGAGATGTGGTTTTATCACTCCCCTCTTAGAAATGTGCTTTTGTCAGCTCCTGTTAGAGCAGGTACTTCCCCCTCCCACTACCTTATGATTTCAATTAATTTCCCTGGTTAGTGGTGGTTCTCAACGAAATAAAATGAGCTGGTAGACAGCAGCCCAAGCAGGGCATAGCTGATAAAATTGTTTATTGTTATGTGCAAGGGAAATCGGTTGTGTGAATTACTTATTCAGTGGTTTTAAAAACACAGGTAATTGCCTGATGGAATGCAACTTCCCCGGGGCCATTATTGTCTTTCAGTTTAGTGCATACATATTTAAAAGGATTTCATTTATGAGGCAGAGCAGTCAGTCACACAGGTAAATGGGCGTTAAAATTAGATTTAAAATGCATTAGGAAGGAGTACCAGAGTCCGAGTCTGTTCTTGAGACAGAACTTGCAGGCTTTTGGTCTGGGGGTAAACTGGTGTCTATAGGTAATGGGAAAACCAATGTCTATGAGGGAATGCTCTGGCCTGCCTTTGAGACCCTGTTCAGAGGTATTTCAGTACACAGGCAGGCTTTGGTCTTCCTACAGGGGACCTTTGGAGCTCTGCACTGAGCAAGTCTTCCACTGAAATGTTTGAGCTCGTTAGTGCTTTCCTGAGGTGTCAGTCTACTGGCTGGATCTTGTCCTACAGAGCTGAGGATAAATCTGAAATTGCTTAGTGCATCTTTAGCCCTTTGTGAGGAGGATATTTTTAGCTCATAAATAACCAGGTCTTAGACAGCAACAAGACGCAACTTAATTTTCTTCTAGATCTTTTGAAGAAAGAGGAAGGCACGTGTCCTAACCTGTGTTCTTCCAGAAATAAAATCGGGGTAGGAATTGCTGTGAAGCATGGCCATGGTCCAGCATAGCAGCCTCAGAGCTGATGAGAGCACACACATTTTCCTTGCTGGGAATTAGGAGCCTTTTTAGATTCTGATAATGAGATAATCAACATCAATTTGAACATTTTAGCTCTACATGATCTGTGTGCAAAGCAGGGATGACTCTGTTAAGCAGAGGAGAGGGAAGCTGTCTCTGAGATGCTGTTAGTGAGTCAAAGAGTGTCTCGGAACAATTCCAGTTGCAGAACAATAAGATGTCCCAAAGTATTACTGCAGCAGGCTGCAGCTGTCCATGTGATTCCTCACCACTGCCTCTGATGGCCAGAGAAATTCTTCCAAACCACCAGTCAGAGATGAACTCTAGTGATGAACCAGTGTTGGTGGGGTGGGAAAAACCTTGGCATGCCATTGTTTAACTGGGTTGTGTAGAACACCAGTGAGAGCTTAATTGGACCTTGTACTTCTTAATTAGAAGACAGTAATGAATTCTTGTCTTACTGCTTTTGACAAGTGGTTTTGCAAAGTTTAAGAGGCTTATCAGCATTCAGCCTGAGATTCCAGCTGAAAGGATAATGTCCCTTGGAAAAAGACATAATCTCCAAGATCAATAATTAGTTTACAATAGCATTTTAAAGTACACATGTAGAGGTTTGCATCAATAATGAGTCTGCTCAAAAAAAAAAAATACCCTTTTCAGTTTTGTTCCCTCTTCTGTAGTGATTTAAAGGAAGTTAAGTTTTGGCTGCTATAGGGTAACAGTCCTGCTGCTGGGGATAATCATGGAATCATTGAATGGTTTGTGTTGGAAGGAACCTTAAAGATCACCTACTTTCACCTCCCCATTCTGTTTTAGTTTTACAAAGAGGTTGTTTCTAACATTTCCAGTCTATTGATTCACAGCCTGTGTTTTGACAAGGATTGGGAGGGTATTTCTCACTGTATGGCTCTGTGCCATTAGAAACATGGCTTGGCAATATTGTTCCCCAGAGCCCTGGGGTGGAATTAAGGAATCATTTAGGTTAGAAAAGACCTCTAAGATTGAGTCTAACCATTAACCCAGCACAGTCAAGTCCATCACTAAACCATGTCCATAAGTGCCACCCATTCTGGAAAATGGCTCAATCCCCACCTCAGGAATGAGAGGGCTGTTTATAGAAGCAAGTTCTAAGCTGAGTGGTGAGAGCTGGAATCAGTACCTCTGTGAAGGTGTGCAAGT